GAAACAATAGAAGATCACAGAATTTCCTTCCTTGCCCTTCACTCAGGGGTGGTATTTGCAAAAAGACCCACTGAATACCTGAGATCTGTAAGTACAGACTAAACCCCTCATGGCCCTCCCTCATCAGTGCCCAGGTGACAAAGCCCAGCATGGGGTTTTTGGGTAAATTAAACTGACACTGCTACCCTCCCATGTGAAACAGTGACAACTTCCTTTGAAAACCAAAACAACGCATCAGACTTCTTTTCCCTTAAAATCAAACCTTATTATTTACCTAGTGCTCCCAAGTCCAAGGCACAGGGCTGAGCATAAGACCATCTAATGAAAATAAAGTATTTTGCAACCAGGCTTTCTGGCGTACCAGATAAATAAAAAAAGAGGTTAATCTCACTGGAGACGAGACAGGTGAGGAGAATCAACTTTTAAAATCTGTCACATTTGGCATAAAGCACTGACCCACAGTTTCTCCTTTCATGGTGATAATAAGGGGACATTATCAAATTATATAGATAGACCCAAATAGTAGTTCTCCACAGCCATAAGCCCAGCTCTAACAGGGACTGAGGGTAACTCAAGTAGGCAGCTGAAATTCTATCCACATCCCTTTTCTTGAGCCACAGCCAGACTTTCAGGTCTAGGAAATGTAAGACAAGGCAGCATAGGAGAGGTTATACAGTGAGCAAACTGATGTGGATGGAGACGTCTAGAATGCATAGCGCAATTGTAAACACTCCTAACCACTTCGTTTCCTGGACCATTTTGTTATGTCTTTAATGCGTGTAACGGAAACTCTGACTTCCCTAGAAGATTGACCTTTACAATCAATACAATGATACCTGGGGATTTCCTCTAAGATAGAGCTAAGTATCTGCAACCAGATCCAGTGTTTCTCAACCATTTTCATCAGACCCCTAAAGAAAAAACTTCCATTTCCGGCTCTATTCATAACCAACACTTCTGACACTAGATGTGTGGGTTTTCCACACCAAGCAATTCTCCAGTTCTCAGAGGACACCGACTGGGTGTCCTACAATTTAACTCAATTCTGCCCCCCGCCTCGCTCCCCACCCCCAGGCTAAGGGCAAGGTCCCACAAAGCTGTCCTCTCCCCCACCCCACTTCAGACACCAAGTGCAAGTCTCAGGTTCTCACCTGTACTTCTGATCATTACTTCTAGTCTGTCTCATTAAAATCTTACTCATGCCAGAACACCTACGCTGATGGGGTTCTATAGGGATGAACTCAACTAGCTCTGCCAATAATTTCCCACGCAGCCTGGGTAAATTATTTAACCACTGTGCTCATTCCTCTAACCAGCCAATACTGTAAATCAGCACACTGTAATGGAAAAACACACAGCACTCCTGGTCAGGAGACCTGCCCTCGGGTCCCACCTTAGCTACTGACTCACTGTGAGAATATAGGCAAGTCCCCTCTCCTTCCTGAGGCCTCATTTTCCCATCTATAAAAGGAAGATGTCATACCAGATGCATGCATGGAGATTCTACATTCTAAAGGCCTGTACCTAGCTAGTTCACATATACTAGCATACCAAACAAAATAATGCCCCATATTAAATTCTGTAAAATTCAACAACATGTAATTCAAAGAACAGCCAGGACAAGACCTAATAGAAAAAACACTGCATAGAAAAATATTGGGAAGAAAAACATGATTGCTTTCCAAGATAAGCCTTTAAAGTTTGGGTACATACCTTCCGAACTTGAATTAAATATAAGTGTCATTCATGAGAACTATTGTAGCCCCTTTGTGAGCCATATCAATTTTCTGCCTGGATCATCTTTTAGTGTGATGTACTCCATAAATTACCTCCTGCTATGTTCAATAATGCCTTCATTTTATTTTTAAGCTTTAGGGAATGTCCCTAAGTAATAGCAGTCTAGGATTTGGGAAATCAAGTCCATATTTACCCTATTCATACCCTAACTACAGTTTCCAATTAAATCCCTTCTGAGGTTTGGTTTTTCCAAACTTAACCTACACTAGACAATCTCTATTTTTCCCATCTCCTTGTTCACTTCAGCCATGTATTCCCATGGTCATACCATAAGACATTATTATTACCAACTAGAGGCCCCATGAGATCACCACAAAAGTAAGTGTAGTAAATAAAAAGAACCAGGGACTCAGCCCCTGGACACTTCAAATTAAGAGGATAGGGAGAAGAGAAGGAACCAGCAAGAAACTGAAAAAGAATGGTCAGTGAGGTAGGAAAGCCAAGAGTACAGAGTTCTAGAAGCAGAAGTGGGATGTTGTCAAGGTGAAAGGAGTGGTCAGCTATGCCAGATGTAGAGAAAGAGAAGGGAGAGAGGAAGGAAGGAAGGAAGGAAGGGATAGAGGAAGAAACGTGGATTTATTGTTCTACTTATTTATGCACTCATTGTTTGATTCTTGTATGTGCCCTGACCAGGATCAAACCTGCAACCTTGATGTATCAGGACAAGGCTCTAACCAAAAAGCTACCAGGCCAGGCCAAATAAGTTGTGTGTGTGTGTGTGTGTGTGTGTGTGCGTGTGTGTGTTTAAATATATTTTTATTGCTCTCAGAAAGGAAGGGAGAGGGAGAGATAGAAACATAAATGATGAGAAAGAATTATTGACTGGCTGCCCACTAGGTGCCCCACACTGGGGACTGAGCCTACAACCTGGGCATATGCCCTGACTGGGAATCAAACCATGACCTCCTGGTTCATAGGTTGATGCTCAACCACTGAGCCATGCAAGTTGGGCTACATAAGCTTTTCTGAAAATATTTCTCATACATATAATAAGCATCATTGAATATAATTTTATTTCAAGTTGATCCAGTTTATGTACCATACCTTAAAGATGTTTTTATAGTGAAGATATAGTGTACAGCAATGCCTCACTATGATAAATGCTCAACAAGGATTTGCTGAATGAAGAGGACCAAGCCTCAATTTGAGTTTGTTTTGGTAACAGGGAGATAACAACAGAGGGTAAAATCTCCTTATTTTTTTCTACATCAGGACTTAATTTGAATGCTATCACAATAAAATAATCTCGAATCTTTGCAATTCTAGAACCCCCTAGAACAGGGGTGGGCAAACTTTTTGACTCGAGGGCCACAATGGGTTCTTAAACTGGACCGGAGGGCCGGAACAAAAGCATGGATGGAGTGTTTGTGTGAACTAATATAAATTCAAAGTAAACATCATTACATAAAAGGGTACGGTCTTTTTTTTTCAATAGTTTTATTCATTTCAAACGGACCGGATCCGGCCTGCAGGCCGTAGTTTGCCCACGGCTGCCCTAGAAAGACTAAGTAGGCGGGAGAGGGGTGAGAGGGAGGAGGGAACTCGTACTAGGCAGAGGAGCTTCTCCAGCGACGACACAGCTCAGACAAGAGCTCAGCAAGCTCAAGAGCCCCAATCGCACTTAACACTCGAGTGTTGACCAAAAATTGAGATGAAATATTTTGTTTCTGTAAAACTGATCTGCCACTAGACCCTTTATCTCAGGGAAGATGGGTAAGCTCACTATAAATATTATTTTTCTCATTCCCATCTGCAGTATTTCCCCGAGCACAGCATTCTTGTCGAGGAGCCAAGGCCATAAGAGAGAAAAACACTATTCAGGCAGCAGTTCCTAAAGGACTATGTTATGGGCTGATCTGTATCCCCCACCAAATTCAGATGTTTAAGTCCTAGCCCCAATCCTTTAGAATGTGGCCTTACTTGGAAATAGGGTCATTGCAGATGTACTTAGATGAGGTCTTCCTGGAGTTGGGTGGGCCCTTAAATCATTATAACTATTGTCCTCAGAAAAAGAAGAGATTTGGACAGAGAGGCACATAGGAAGTATGCCGTGTGAAGATTGGAGTTATGCTGCTCAAGCCAAAGAACTACCAGAATCTAGAAGAGACCTGGAGCAGGTCCTTCGCTAACACCATCAGAGGGAACATGAACCTTCTGACGCCGTGACTTTAGAATTCTGGCTTCTAGAACTATGGGACAATGAATACCTGTTGTTCTAAGCCATCCTATGTGTGGTACTTGGTTACTGCGGCCCCAGAAAACCAATCCAGACAGTGAGAAGCTCCTGTGCACCCACTAGGCCTGCCTGCTTCAGACTGCATTCCAGATCCAGCTTTCCACCCCATGACCTCAGCCACCACTTAGCCCAGGTCCCAACACCTCCCTCACGGCTGCTGTAACAGCTGCCTAGTCTCCCTGATTTCAGACTTCAGACTCTACCTTTGCTTCAACTGCCAAACGCACCTGCACTCAACCATGATAACCTTTCAAAGATGACAACTTCTTTGCATCACTCTCTTGTTAAAAAATCTCTAGGGGCTCACCAATTCCTATGGGGAAAAGCCCAGATCCTTCTGTCTAGCACTCAGGCCCCTATCTTCTAAGCTAGTCCCACTGCTAGGTGTGATTCCGCGAGTGACACTAGAATATACAACCACCGTTACTGATGTGATGCTTCCTCCCCTGCTTGTCACCTTCCTTCTACGCAACCCAATTCTTGACCACCCTATAAAGCCCACTCCAAGACTGGCTTTCTCCTTGAAGCTCTCCCTATATATTGAAGCCCAGAGCCAAGGCCACTTCTGAGACGTCGCGGCATTACTGCTTGTATCGGTCATTCCGCACTCATCTCCAATTGCCTTGCACGATTACCTAACATTTAAAAAGCGCACATTTTGCACAGGTAGACTATGAGCTCCTTAAGGAGAAGGTTTGTGTTTTACAATATTGGGGGTACTTCTCAAAGCCAAAGACAATTCTAAGCATATTACAGACAAGTCCTAAATTTTTACTGAATTAACTATTAAACATATATTTAAAATTCTTAGAAGTATTACTTTGGGCCCTTCCTTCAACTGGGGACAAAATTGAACAAATCTATAGGTTTCATGTAATCCTTGTGGTTCCATATATATCCAAATAATTTTAAACTTACAAGAAATAGGAGGAAAACTCCTCAGGACATTTAGTCCCAAGTTACTTACCATTCTTCATCACTACGTTGGACCAGACATTGGCATTCAAGGCTTGAACAATTCGCTTTACTCCTGTAGATTCTGGGAAGTCATCTAGTGAGGTAAAGAGCAAATATATTTATACATGTACTTATACATACATACATACATACATATATACATACGTGTGTGTATATATATACACACACACATATGTATATATGTATGTATGTATGTATATATACACACACACACTGTAAGCCACATTTTTAAATAACTGTGGCTTAATTATTTTGCTTATTAGCTGTTACTTCTTCACACTGCAACCAATATGAGGAAAAATTTAAGCAAATACCAAGCTCAGAGCTCCCGTTAAGAATATTCTAGAAACTAAAACAATGAGAAAACACACAGTATAAGAGTCTTATAACATCATCCCCACTGCCTCACCAACGACACACCTACTTACACGCTCCTGAAAATGTTAATTTCCATTAATTACACAATCCTAGGAGAGTACAAGAGTACTACCAATCTTGGTAATTTATAGAGAATGATTTTGCTGAAGGCAGGACTGGTCCTCTTAGTATGCTAAAAAATCCCTTTCTTCTCCTAGGAATCATAAAATAATTATTCTTTAAAACAGATATCTAGAGAACAAATTCTTGATCAGAGAAAGATAGTTTAAGAGTGAGAAGTTAAGTTACTATAACCAGAGTGTAAGACACTGGAAAAGTATCATTAAAAATATCCAACAACTTAGTTAGTTTAGTATTGGTATTTTCCAGCTTCTGGAATTTAATTGATACTACTCCAAACAACAAGGCATTAACCCCAGTTAGCGTACCAATAATAAGTGGTATGCTTAGTTACACTGTATATATGAATGAGTATAAAGGAAATGGAGACCCTTCAGATAATGAGTATTGTAAGATTGTGTATGGCTGAAAGAAGAAAGTCTCCTATGCGTTTACAGAGCACAGTCCACAGAGAATCTGTCTCTAGTGGAAGAGCGCAGAATTAGAAGTCAGAAAATCTGAATCTGAACCCAGGCTCTGCAACTTATTAGCTATTTGATCAAGGGCAAATATCACTTAACACTTTATCACAGCAAAGTGGGGATGGCACCACTCCGTGCACACCTTTCCTAGAGGAAAGATGCAGTGGAACTGGTGATTTGCTAGTGTAACCTTCTCCTCCAGCCTGGATACTCCCTAAGGCAGAAATCATGTCTTACTGAGTTCATTATTCCCACTGCCTAACACAGTGCCTGAACGACAGCAGGCACTTAGTAACTGCTGGGTTGATGAATCATTTAAAGAATACCAACCCAGCAACTTAACAGAAATAGGGTGAGGATTAAACCAAAATACTCTACAAAAATGAGTTTATCACCATTGATGTTTAAATGAAGAAATAGAACATGTTTATCTTAATTATGAATGAATGATTCAATTCTTGAAAGAATAACTAATATATCAGATGATTTAACCAGGAGTCAAAAATAAGGCCTGAAGTAGAAAGCCAGTAAGATGAAATTTAATACAAACAAGCATAAACTCTCATATTGATGTTCAAATTAATACATGTGAATAAAGGATGAGGGCATATGGCTTGAGAACTGTTTGCATTTAAAGCTTATAGGAAGGTTTTAGTTACATTACCTAAAGATGACATGTCAAAAATCTATTTTAAGATTAAACTGAATTAATATAAGAACATTGTTCTGACAAGAAGCAAGAAGTGTACTGGTATAAAGGAGTAGAGATTTCAAAATGAAAACAGATATAAATAAATGACTCAAATATTGACTCTCAAGGACAAAAAAGAGAAAATTCTAGTACCAAAAGTAAGTGACTACACACATGTTCACATACACAAAATAGGGCACAAGTTTTAGGAGACCTAGAAGAACCTGGAAGGATAAATTGCACTTGTTAATTTTTAATATTCTTAAAAATGTACAAGGAGAAAAATCCGGCTTTTTATTTCATTTTTGTGCTCTTCTTCCCTGGCAAGGTTTTCTTCCTAAAGGTAAGATTTTGAAAAAATATTCTAAACAAGTCATAATATAGAGAAGAACATTTTTAGCTCCTTTAAAAAAATATGTTTCATGTAAGGATTACTTATATCCTATCTACATAATTTAATTTGTACTGGATGCCCCTCCCTAGAATGTCTTTCGGAACAACTGGCATTTCTCAATGCTACTTCCCCACTAGTCCTCTAAATACAATTCCAGTATATTTTCCATCTCTCCCCCATGGACCAGTTGACATGTGAGAGTTCATGGTGCCAACTCATTCTTTAAAATAATCTCTTCTGTCTGTGAAATACCACAGTACCAGTATTTTTAAATCAAACTTAAGATGTCCCACTTAGTAATTTAATTATTTATATACATGTCTTATCTTTTGTACCAGATTATATGATTTTGATGGCCCAAAAGCCACCTTATCTTGGCAGATCCCATAGCAGCTAGCATAGATACACTTGGAAGGAACACAGATGAGAAGAGAAATGGAGGAGGAGAAATGAAGTGGAGGAAGAAACAGAAGAAGGTCCAGACTATAGTAGAAAGCAGTTAAATGCAAAGCTACCCGAGAGGGCATTCTGAGTCTATTTTTTATTTCAAATGTGCAAAAGACATACAAATAGGACTGACATATCCCCTACGGTTCTTGGGGATTCAGCCTCAGGTTAGTAGGAATTCAAAATAGGCAACTTTACCTATTTATGAATATAGATTAAACTCTCTTTTTTTTGGATGTGGAGAAAAGATAAGAGATTAGGGAAATGACTAAGATTTAAGGTAGAAATCTTCTACCTTTATGCATAAGAAAAACAAACATTTCAAAAGTCCTAAAATTGACAAATGAATGAATTATTTGGTTAATGATAAGACCACTTCGATGGATTTTGCACAAATCTTTTCAAGCAGCTGGGGAAAAAAGGCTTTTTGAATTTCACTGTGATTCTTTCAAGAATTAAATAATCTCATATTTCAACCCACATGCCATGTTTTCTCACAATATAAACACTTACCATCCTCCTCAGGTAACTCTTCCGGACTAAGTTCTACCAGTTCAAAGCCATGTTTTATACACCATTCTTGAGCTTTTTGTCGGTTTACACCTAAAATAATAATTTTTTAAATTATTAAAAAATATTTACAAATAAAAGTAAAATATGAGCCTGGTTGATTGTCATCCTGATATGCCAAGGTCGCAGGTTTGATCCCGGGTCAGGGCACATACAAGAATCAACCAATAAATACATAAATAAGTAGAACAACAAAATCAACGTTTCTCCCTCTCTAAAATAAATAAATTTTAAAAATGTTTAATTAAAATATGAATATTGCTGCAATAGTATTCACAAATTTAAATGTGTTTCCATTAATGTCAATATTATTCTGTAGGAACCACAATATAAAGAAAAGTATTTCCACTATTTAGGAAAAAAAGGTAAAAAAAAAAAAAAGAAAAAAAAAAGGTAAATATCCCAAGTTTCCAAAGAGAAATAGCTAACAATATTTTTGTAAAGTAGTAAAGTCACATGACATACACTAGTCTAAGTTAAGGAAACAAATAGACTCTGTTTACCAAGAAATGGCAAATGTATGTACAAACTACCATCCATCCCATCCAAGTGCTTACCATTCTCAGACACTCTATCGCAGACCAAGATCATCACCTCAGGTAACCATGCTTCTGCCAGGGGAAGCCATGAGGAGACACTATCAAGACCAGATTTCTAGAGGGAGGAAAAACGAACAAAAGCAGAAACACAGGCATTAAGAGAACTTACAAAAAAAAGCAGGAGGGGGAACAGAAAGCACAAGATAAATTCTTATTCAAAATTCCATGGAAAAGAAAATCTTACTTGTGTGCTGTCAAAGTAAACCACAAATGCTTGGACAGACTCTGCAATCTCTGCAGTGACAAGAAACTTGTTCGGCACTACACATAGATTGATGTCGGCTGAATAGTACTTATTATCAATGGTCCAAGGATAAAATCTCACGGCATCATTGGCAGTGGCTTCCACAAGAAGATCTTCTGTTCCAAGGATGTCTAAATAAACGACACAACATCACCATGGAAAGTGCAAAACTAATGTACATAGGTAATGTACATTACTCAATAGGACACCAGAGTTACATGGCTGTTTCCCTTCACACAAAGATTTCAAAGGGCCTCACACTTATTAGGGTATTTTCTCCGCTGATCATCTACAGTACTATAAAAGGGTAAAAGCTAATTAGACCAGACATCTTCTGGATGACCTTCCAGACATCCTTTGTGACAAAGCTATGCCCTGGCGAAGCCGACCTGCCCCCGGTCCCAGTTCCAGGTGCCTGCAGCTGTGGCCCGGGCAAAGCTGCCTGGATCCCAGATTTCAAGAGGCATGTCCGACTGCAGGTTTAGGCCCAATCCCACTAAACCGACATCCCCCAAAGGGTCCCGGATTGGAGAGGGTGCAGGCCAGGCTGAGGGACAGCCCCCCCTGCACAAATTTTGTGCACCAGGCCTCTAGTCTATATATAAAAGGCTAATATGCTAAGTGTCCTTCCCACTGCCCAACCGGTCACTATGACGCACACTGAACACCAGGGGGCAGACACTCAACGCAGGAGCTACCATGACACACACTGGCCATTTACGGAGAAATGGCAGCGCCCATCTGGCCAACAAAGCAACACTCGGGTCTCCCCAAGTGGGACACAGGCCCGCCACCACCCCGGAGCAACAGCCCACCAAATCACATCCAATGCTGCCAACACACCATGGCCAGCCCGGAACAGTCACTGTGGGTGCTGGGTAATAACGTCACGTGGCAAGCCCAGCTTCTGTTCCTTAGCGATTAGCCTCCTTGGAGTTTCTTTAGCTCAGGAACACAACTTGCTTTATAGCCAGGTGGAAGCATTTACACTCTAACCAAATGTCTGTGAAGCGTTTT